TCGCGAGGTACATTCTCGAATCTTCACCCATGTGACCCACTTGGGGATGAGCACCTACGTACAGTTGCATCATTTTTTTTACGGTAATGTGTTGCGGCTATATTTGGGTTCGGGGCAACCTCTTCGGCCCCCTATCAAACAAGCCAAATTTCTTCCTTGAAGAATGGGCTTCCCTGGTTTTGCAGCTCCTGGATTCTTGAGCGCACATGCTGGGCCTGGTGCGGCCGTAAGTCCAGGACGAGCTCCCAAGTTCCCCTCCTCTCGCTTGCTCTGGCAATGATTTGAAGGGCCTGGTAGCGGTAAGTTGAGGAGCAGGCAGTTCAAATATAATAAAACGGAGAAGGAGAAATCGACTGGCAGAAGCTTGTTCGTAAGGGACTAATTTCAGATCGCAAAAGTGGCCATACCTTTTACGGTACCGAGTTACTTGACTTCCACGTTGACTCCACCTCCCCTGACAGGCAGACAGTTGTTGGATTATAATGAAAGGGTGCAACTGGAGCTAAAATCTAATTGGTGCCGAGGCGCCATCTGTCGGGATCCAGGAAGCCCATGGGAGCAGTGACATGCAACTGAACAATCTACGTTGAATGATACATAGTGCACAGATAGAATACGTATTTACAACTGTGTAACATATTACAATGTACTATACATTTGTTCAAGCCGATTAGATGTATAACCCCCATCTACGATGACTGTTCTGCATTCTGTCACTGCTGGAATTCGAGCTGCCATGTGTGTGTGTTCTGAGAAGGGGCAAATCCGCAGTATCTAGCATGAGCTCTGGAGTAGTCTGGTCACAATCTCCCGACTTACCTCGGCCCGACGTACTTGCCTTTGCTGAGTCCAGGCTGGGGGGAGAATGCTAAAAGCTCGGTTGACTACCGAACGGCCGAGATTAACATCTCCAGTTGCACGATTTTGGATTAAAACATCCCACTGCCGTCCGTGATACACAGTGACATTCATTGTCCAGACTCTTATCATTTGTCTCCGACACTTCAATCTCGCACTGTAATTTCTGGATCCCCGTGCTGGAGTAACTCTCTTGTAGTTTGTTGAGTGCGTGAAATCCATGCAACTGGCAAAAAAGCCCAGGAGGACAAGATGGGAAGATGAAGACAAATCTGAGAGTCAAGTGAATTGTCTGTCAAAGCTGTTATTACTTATGAGGCTTGTTGAATCACACGATGCGCCCACTGGTAGAAGATTTATCTTTGTGATAGCCACTTCACACTCGCGGATTCGCAGTACCAGACCAGGCTAGTCGCTTGCATATTATTCTTATCATTATCATCATAAAAGAAATTGAAAACTATATATATACATATATATATATATATATATATAAGAAAACGAAAACAAACAACGTGAATGGTGGGAAGTTGTACTTGACCCCTTTAACTAAGATTGAATAGTCTCTCTGCAGAAAAAATGAAAGAGATGTATTGTTAGGATGACATCACCATGTCATCTATTTATTTATTTATTTTTGATCCAAATAGAGTTTATTTCTCTATTGCAGAAAAGTTAGAGTACAAGGCCCCAACCAGGTCCGGTCAGGGTGTTAGGTTACGTCTAGATGTTATGACTGGTTACTACTGGGCCAGCTTAGTTTCCACATTGGTTTGGACTGTTGCCACATCGCCAGATCCTGATTCGCACACCATTGTTATCTAAATTGTTGATTATGTACTGCCGCTTGTAGGGGCCTCCGTTTGATGAGTAGTTGCGTTTTGAGCCACGCATTCCGACCATAGTCGATGAATTGCAACCATAATTTTGGAAACATTTGTTCTTCTTCCTACTGGACACCGTTAAACGCCGTGTCGTTTCTTTCAATCCATAATACCCACATTGTAATGCCTCTAATTAGCAGCCAAATGCGGCTAATCTTTTTTAAATCCAGGCGAAGATACAATGTATTCACGATGGTGAGTATTGTGTGAGTCGTTGGCCTTGATCAAGGCCATCATTCAGATCAATTGTTTGTTCAGGGAACCTGTTACGGTGGCCATTGCCCCGTGAATTGTCGTTGGCCACCCTTCGTTGCTGACCCCTCTGTTCCGAGGCAGGAGCGAGTAGTTGGATAATGTGTATCTCCTAGTGCCATGCCTTTATTGAGGGATTACACTCCCAGAATTTGTGGAGCACCGTTTCTCGTATTCTTGACAAGTAAACTGGCCAACAATGGTCGATATTGTTGCTCGACCTACCTCTCCAGGAATTCACTGCTACCGCGCGGTGCTAAGCCAGCCACATGAGGCCTGCTTCCTTCCGGGCACGTTCCGCATCCCAGATATTAGCCCACTTTAGCTTGAACCGGGATGGTAGTATCCCTTCCCACTTGCGGGTTACCACATTGGGTATGGTATGGCGTTTCAGAAGGAGGAACCGGCCCAACTTGGCCAAGTACTACATGAATGGTGTTTGATCCGGCCACAGAAAGCGATCGGGGTCCCACACTAGTTAGTCGATCCTGCCGTAACACATCTGCATCGTCCAGTTGCGTTGCCTCCTCACTACCGTAACTATGCGAACACGTTTGAGTAGTCCGGCGACGTAGGTTGTTACGAGGTCTCCACCTTCTAACACCCTGTGCTCCGGGCGTTGCGGTTCCAGCGCGAGTTCTAGCACGTTATTACTGTTTCCAGAAGTATTATACAAAGTGACTTGCAGGGGAATCCATAATTCTCTCTGGCGAAGGTCGGCTCGGTAATCTTCTGTGGACTGCCACACCACGGTGGGTGGGTGATATTGAGTCCTCAAAAAAGAGCTCCACCCACTCCCCCGCTTGGAGTCCCTGATTGGAGGTGTGTACAAATTGCTGCCGATGGTGGCTGATTGTAGCCACTAAGGTTTCCCATGCCCTTTCTTCATGGATTGTTAAGCCATACCTAGTTTGGACATTTAGTTGATGCCAGATGCTACAATTAATCCACTCCTCATAGCAAGATGGGGGAAGGTAAGAAGTGCCCTACATACATGGCCTGGATGATCTAGGAGGTACTTCTGGTGGTGGAGTGTGGTTCTATTTCATCAATGCCTCTACACTAGTGGTGGAGTGTAGTATATTAAAGTAAGCTAACTTGTTATTTTTAACCCATGCTTTTTCAAATCTCTTCGGAAATTTGACTTTGTTTTTGGTTTTTTAAAAATCTTCTTTAAGAACTTTCTTTGCTTCAGTTTTATCCACTACATTTTCAAGATTGGTTGAAGCACTCCCATTTAGTTAGTGATTTGAATTAGAGTAAGAGAGAGAGTTGCTATCTTCACAATTTTCTTCCAAATTTTGTATTATATCCTCTCAAAGAATAAATACCTCTTTATATGAAGTCATTAGAATTGAATTTAAGGTTTTTTTTATCTAGTTAAAAAATATTTAAGTAGAATTGCATCTAATTTGTATTCCTTGCTAAGTCACCAATCTACAGGGATACACATACATTGCTTCCAAATTATTTATATCTATTTGGATATGAAACCCAATGATGGTATATATTTCCACATCTTTTCGCAATATAGAATATTCTTTGTTGATTGTGTAGATATTTTGCATTTTGCTATGGTGTAGCAAGAAGGGGATCTAATTAGTTTGACCATAGTATAGGATATTAATCTATTGTGAGTGATTTGTTAAATCAAAAAGTCTCATATATGTCTCTCACAAAGGGATAGATTAATTGAGAGTTGTGTTTTATCCCATTGGGATTGTTTGCTCCACAGATCCTTGATCTGTTGTATTCCTTTCTTGTGCATACAAATTGCAATTTTTCTTGAGACAGTGGTGCCAATGATATTTTGGGCTAGGCTCATTCACGACATCATCGTGACATGCTCATGGCAAATTGTTTAGTGCCAAAACAATCCCCACATGATTGACCATTTCTGGGACACGCTTCTCTGATGACAACCCTACAGTTTCGGCCAACAAACTCTCCTGATTCAAAATTTGAATCGAAATTCTGACCCTTTGCCAGTCCTGAAGTTGTCAAGTGTTTTTTTTCGCAAAAGACAAAAAGTAAGAGAGGAAAAGAATACCCCATGGGCTTGTATACAATTTGCTTGCTTGTCTGGTATCCAGTGTCCTTTGTCGTGTAGTGTGAAGCAGCCATGAGTCGGACAATGGGGCTCGCCTTGCACAGAGGGTACAGACCACTGCTGGTGTACTCTTCAGTTGATGTAACTTAATGGCGACTCTCCGTAATTTGTAACTGCAGTCTTACACAAGACTGAACGCTGTAACTAACCTTTGATGATTCAATGATGGCCAATAATTATGGCCATGGGCTTCTTGCTGTCTGCACAGTTTATTAGTACCTGCGCAACCGAGATTGGTCACTCTCAGATTTTCTGAAAGCCGGGAATCACTTTTCAGCGGAACCGCCGCGCTGGTGAATAAAATTGTCAAGCTGTAAGTAAATACTGGCGAGGTCCGTTCACTGTGCCATCTTTGGACTTTCACGTGTTACGACTCCATGTGAATCTGAAACTCACAGTTTTGACAAGCCCTGCATGTAGTGGCTTGTCAATTTGTTCATCTGGTGCTGGTCAAAGCACTGTACAACTAACACCGGCAACCAGGAATTACCATGTCAACCAGCAGCAATGACTAAGTTGGGTTGGTTGGCACGGGCACATCATTAAAAGAAGACGCCTCATAAACTCAACGATGGCTACCAGGATCCCGATTAGACATGCCAGAAATCCCTCGACTGGACATGGTTGTCACAATGTCGGTACCTAACTGATCATCGCAACGGCCTTACCTTCTGGGAGCGACTATTGATGCAAACCTTCAGTTGTCCTCAACTACAGGTAATGGGCAGATTTAATAAGAACCGCAAAGGACGAATTCCTCAAATAGTACAATTTGTACCGCATTTCCAGAAACGAAGTGAATTAATAATTGTAATAGTCTTGGGAGAGTTGATTTGAAGAAGTCAACGAGAAGACACAGGCATTCCATCAAAAGAGAACGACATTGTGTAGACAAATTTCAAGGAAAACGTGTCACCTTTATTGCCTCAACAAACTCAAAAAGATAGGGCCCAACAATTTAGTTGCAGTGCTTTGATTCTGCAATTTGTCTACTGAGGCCACTAGAGAATATCCTCAGAAATGGTCTAGAACTAGCTCCATCCATCGCTCTTGTATTGTTATTGTCAACCTCGGCGCATTGAAGTGCAGTAAGAATAATAAGGATTTCTCAATCTCTCTCTCTCTCTCTCTCTCTGTCTCTTTGTCACAATTTCCGATCAGAATATCTCAAGTTCCATGAAACGCTAGCAGCGTCCAATGTACAAGGAGTCGTATCTTTACAAAAGCTATTCTAGATTTGTGTGCCTGCAAAAGATGAAGAAGATATGGTCGCCACTGGAACCATAGCGTCGAAATGGACAACCAAGCCTGCAAATCCTAGCTATGTACGTGAGCTGATAAATTAAACATTTCCAATTTTTAAGGTTCAATGGAAGTATGCATACACTGCAATAAAGAAGTCGGTCGCCTCGAATCTGATCAATCGAAGCTTGAGCGCGTTTGCAAAATTATCGTAGTAGCCTGGAGATGGGGGATGAGTCATGTCCAGTGGTGTCCAATCTTCAAAAATGCCGACAGGAAAATAAACAGACAAAAAAAATGGAACTTGGTGGGGGAGGAGGATCTCCAATCAAAATCCGCTGCAAGGAATCAATAGAATCCCTCACGGCTGTTACCGATCCTCTTGATCGCGTCATCACCAACTCTTCATGACCGATCAAGTATTTCTTCATGATACATTACTTAAAAAAACGAAAACTCACACACTGCCTGGACGGAGGATTGCTTTGTAACAATGAGCTGGCCGAATTCTTCATGCTCTTTTTCTCAAGCTAAGAAGTGTTTCAGCCCTGTACAGACGTCGAAAACCAGCATCGGAGCCTTCAGGACGCTCCCACACCAAGGAAATCAATGAATGGAACTGGCACAGTCACGGAACTGCTGTGCAGTGTGGCTGCTTCAGCGACTACCGTGTCCTCAGGTTTCTCACAAGGTACCCATGAAGTTAGCCCCAGCTTGGAGGGATTCGCACCGTCCTTGCGTAGCCTTTTCTGCAAGTGCTGATGCTCGTGCCCAGGCACAGGCAAGGGTATCCAGTTGCCAAGCTCCTTGGTTGTGTCCTGCCTGGAGAAAGCAGGAGCTACACGGAAAGAATGGATGGCTTCGTACTTGTTGCCACTTCGGCCCAGGCTAAGCGGTCTAGCCATCTCAGAGCGGTGCGGGTGATCTGCGTAAGTCTCGTGGAGCTCCACAACCTCGTCGCCGTTCGTCTGGCTGTAGCCGGACGGATTCGGGGGAGAGGGTCTATTCCAGTGGCTACCATAGAGGCTTCCCTGCAGTGTCGTCTTCAACCCCGAAGTGGAGCTCTCTGTGGGGAGCAAGCGGTGGAAGGAGCCTTTGTCCGCATGCTCCTCTTTTAGATGCCCTGTACTGCCCTGTCTGTCCGTAGGATTATTCACAAGCGCTTGTTGATGCTTTTCGGAATTGGTCAGCCCTGACAAGTAGACTGCCCTGGGATCTGCAAACCGAATGCGTCACCCTTGTTAGATGGACCTTCCGTGGGAGAGCAATCAACACTTGGGGGCGATATCCGCATGGAAACATGACCATTCCTACACTGAGCTTGATTTCGTGTACACTGTAAGTTTTGAGTTGGACTTGTGATTCCTTGTTACTGTTATTATCATTGTTGTTGTTATCAAAAACTTAGACCTGGAGAGAAAAAAAGAACTGCATTAAGTATAGCGGAAGAATTGAAAAGCGATTGTTAAATGCAAGCACCTGCAATGACGCCTCCTGAACTTGGGAGCAACGAGGGAGCAGCTAGTGGCACGCTTCCGAAGCCAGAAAACCTTGGCAAGATGCTGGACGCATCAGATACATTGTTAACCACATCCCTAACTTGCAAATTGCCGCCAGGGAATTGCGGTTTCGTGAAGGTGTTGGGATGGGCAGTTGGCGAGCGGCTTCTAGAAAGAGAAGCGCGGGGATTGGCAGGCGGTGCACCTGAACCGTCGCAAGCTTCAACGGTTTGATCCCCAGCTACAGCGTGTTTTTCAATCCACGATGTGAGGAAGTCCGCGGAGGAGTGATAGTTGCTAACATCAGAGTTGGAGGAGCGCAGTTCGCCTCTGCGATTCGCCTGCGGCTTGCGGCGACCAAATTGTCGAGACCGCTCACGGAACTTCCGCGCCATGACCACGTGCCAGTGGTTCTTAACGGCGTTGTCCGTGCGCCCCGGGAAGAGGCGCGCGATCATAGCCCACTTGTTGCCATGGAATCGGTGTGCTGATAGAAGTCGGTCCTCCTCTTCCTCCGTGAACGGGCGCCGGTTAATGCGAGGGTCCAGCTGATTGAACCACCGGAGTCGGCAGCTTTTCCCTGCAGACACGGAACAGGGAAGGGTCAGTTGTGTCATGGCTGTGTCTCGCAATCTTGAAGCCATAAACTCAACCGTTACTCCGAAGTGCGCCTCGAACCGATGTGATCGACATCGGTATCAGACTGGTAATCAAATCACTCTCTCAAAGGTATTCTGATACACTCTTGAAAGCGCTGCAGCTTATTTTTCCCCAACGTACCATACCACGCCCATATTGATGAGTGAGAGAAAACTCGGATTCAGAAAGGAAACATCTGAAGCTCCAAGTTTTAGATTTGACAGGTAATACTAGGGCGTCTGGTGTTGAGTGCTTGCTTCAGACACTATGTAAAACGTTCCAGCTCTTCAGATGAAGGAACACTAAGTTCTCCAGTAGATCCCACAACCTGGTTATATCTATTCGGTTAAGGATAAACTTCCTAGCATATGATAGGTGTTACCTGATCGGCCATGAAGCTTCTCTGCAATGAGGTTCCAGTTTTGGGGGCCGTATTGCGACACGAGCTCCCTTAACTTGTCATCTTCCGCGGGGCGCCAGTGTCCGCGGGGACACAGCTTGGATTGCACGCTCTCCCCATCCTTGCCGAGAAAGTTTTCCATGTCCTCGTTGGACTCTTTCATCTCATCCTCCATACTACCGTGCTCCAAATCGTCGTCGCTCGAGAGTTTGAGCCCCGAGGAGCTCTCCACAGACCGCATACACCACGCACGTTCTTCGCCAGAAGCATTGACTAAAACTTGAAAGGGGATGCAGTTGCCAGCTAAGGTATCAGACCCCGAGTTTGAGGTTCGTTCACCGTCTGTTGTCATAGTGTCCGTCGGCGAAAATCCTACAGAACTAGACCGGCGGATTGTGTCCCTGTCTTGCACCCAATTCTGCGGCCACCGGCCTAAGCTTTGCGCGACATGCCGCGGAGATGATCGCTTCCTTTGGGCTTCCTCTGCGAAGCTGTGACTTCGGCCCATGAACTTAGTTGCAATAGGGGACCATGAGCTCCCTCTCTCTTCCATTGAAACCATTGTGATGGATTGACGGTTCCCGCTGAGAGTTTTAATACACCTACAACGCTAACGTTGTCAGCTGACAGAAGAGAGAGAGCATACCCGGTGCGTTCGAGTTCTTTTTTCAAACTCGTGCTATTCACCAGCATACCAGGGTCCAGTTACTACCCATGGCGATTGATCAAAGCGACTTGTAACGTAAGCAATTTGGGATTCTGTGTGTGATGAATTAATCACAATATGGCCCTTCCAGTATTGCATAGAAGCCGAATCCTGTCTATATACATAAACGATAGTTCACACGGCGGAGGTTTCAATTCAAGCGAGCACTATATCCCACAATAAACGCGCAGGCAGTTGTGTTGTTCAGAAAACCTCCCAACCTCACTTCGAAAAGTTCAGATATCCAGTGTGCTCACGAGAAATGGACAAATGCATGCATTTCGCGCTATGAGCGATTCCTAATTCCTCCTCATAAGTGTAAACTCGTAAATTATCTGCTCTCACCCATGTCACCTTCTACGCGCACACGAGAAGATGACCACTCTAAAAACTGTACGCATTACAATGAACTCAACGCATCATCTGCTTGAATCGGGTAGTTTTCACAAATGTAAGGCATCCGATGTGACCAAATCCAACACTCTAGGTCGGAGAGTATCAGTGCATTGCCTACCCCGCCGTTGCTTAACTTGTTCAAGACATCGCCGCCATCGCAGGTGCATCTTAACTATCGTGCGGGTCGCGGAAACCGATACAGCCAAGGTCACCAACCGGGCACAAGTACTCGGTACTTGATTTTAAGTAGACCCCCCAAAGAGCGCGGTGATTGTGATCCGGAATCTCTAAGCAACCGTCTGGCCTTCTTTAAATGTGCACGAGTCTAGGAATGCTGCCGCTTATAGCCAACGACATCTACCGCTATGAGCAAGGTGTGCTCTGCAACTGTACGAAGATAAGTGCTTGAGCTGTGGGATGAGTGGCGCTTGACAAGCTTACACTAACCGATCTTGGTTGAAGTCTGGACAAGACAAGCGTGCCCCGAGAGCCGCGACGGGGAGCATGAAAGGAAACGGGAACGGAAGTGGGGCACCAGTACAAGTAGTACCAGTCGGGCCTTCATCGAAACTGCGGCAAGCCTTGCACCCCACAGATCCGTAGAGCGACGACGACAACAACAACAAAGGCACACCAATGAATAGAAAAAGTCTGACACCACGAGGCGATGGAGTCAAGTGAAATACCAATAAAAGCATGTAAGTTTCAATACTGGGATCCGGCCGGACAGACTAAATTTGTGGAACACGGTAACAGCTAAAGTTGGGAGCTACGACGAAGCGAAGACCGAGTGAAAGGGAATGATCAGACTTGAGAGCTGAGCAAATTGGAAAAAATGGATTTCAAAAGGAGGAGCCAAGCGGACCCGATCCTCCATGTAACGGTTTGTAAGGGGGCTAGCGCAATCTAAGGGTGTGGGGCGATGATCTCAAGAGGTAAATCCAAACTCTCCCACACCCCAACGTGCACTCTGCACCGTGTGCCCTGGTGCTTTGGTTACAACCTGGGGTTTTACTACAGGAGTCCGTCCACGTAGGAAGAAGAAGGAAAAAAAGCGGGGGAAGAGCAGGACTGTTGATCAGTTGATTGCTGTCGATCTCTACAGTAAAGGTAAGACAAAGCAAGCCCTCCATCATTACTCCCATTCGTGCAAGCATCCTCGTCCTCTCGCCCACCCGGTCAGAAGGAGAAAAACACATCAAAAATCACCCAGCGAAACAATCCACTGGTAGATGAAACCATCAGCTCTTCTTGGCTTGGGGTGCTGCACCACCACCACCCGCTCCTCCCCCTCCTCTCAGGCTCCCTGCCTTGGTATCATGCCCCCCCTCCCGACTGTGGGGAAAAAGGAGCTGCAGACTTGTCACTTGACCTGCAGTAAAAGAAACGGTAAAATAAAAGATAAAGACAGCTACTTATACTCATATACATTAAAATATTGTTAAAAGCCAAAAATAGATGTTCTCTCTCTTTCATGGATTGAATTATGACGCCCCCACTGGCCCAGCGGGTGCAAGAACAGACGGAAAGATTCCCCGCAGTGATGAAAGGTCGCGGCACAAGAAGAGAATCGTGACGGGCCTTATTTGTTTAAGGATTTTTCTACCTAGCCACACCCTCATCCCCAACCCTGCACCTTCCCCAGTTTATCAGCCTCCCCTCAATTCCATCGTCCACAGTCCACGCTGCAGGAGTGTGAACAGCAGCGCAAGTTTTGTCACCGTCAGCTGCACTCAAAGGAATTCTCCAATGTCGCTACAAGTTGTTTTATTGTGTTTTTATTTAATATTATATGGTTATATATATATATATATATACATATACACACACACACACACACACACACATATATATATATATATATATATATATAGTTATATAGTTATATACAAGCCTCTCGAAATTAAGGTTTTTTTCAAAAAAAAATCTAATTTTCTTAGAATAAGCTTAGTAAGATGCCTTAAAATAAGGCCCAAACAATATTCCTCTGCATGGTTGGAAGAGGCACTGCATGGCACTATCCATGTAGAAGAATACCGATTTGTAGTCATAGTAGTCATGTTAGGGTATACACATCAAATTCATAATGGTGAAGGAATTGTAGACTCATTGGAAATCCTCTACGAGGACAAAGTTTGGTCTTATGCCAAACCCACAAGATGAGAACGTTGACCAAGTTCTATCAGCATGTTACTTGTTTTGTGAGAAGCTCAGTTATGAAAAAGTCGATCTCATAGGACATAAGCAAAGGGAGACAATGAATGTGAAAACATCTTTAATTCTTTTTTGCACAGTCAACATCACAATGCATATGAAGTTGTAGCACACCAAAGTATAGGCAAAGTATAATGACCTTTTAGATGCCTCAAGGAAGAAGTTCTTTGGCTAAGTAGATTTTAAAAACACCCTTGTAGTTCATTTCAAGATTGAGAAGGCACTCACATTCATAATCGAATCGAACATTATGGACATGGTTATTACTGATATATTATTTAATATGAATGATAAGGAGTTTGTGCCAACTTGTGAATGGGCATTGTCAATTTTCAAGTTGTTTGAGGATATAAACAATGACCAAGTTGAACTTGGTAGAGAACAAGATTTGAACCACAAAGCATACAAAGTGGAGATTAATTCTTTGCAACTGTTTTGTCTTGTGATGAGCTTTGTCTCATGTGGAGCCTCATTACAAATGGCAATATGTCTCATGGATGTCATGAAGAGAGTATTGCATATGGGTTGCTTCAATGGGTGCATTGTCAAATGTACAGCTTTATTGATAAGGGTCATTTGTGATGTGAGCTTATAAAAAATCACTAAACTCTTCTACATGCAGTGGGCATTTTTGTTTCTCCTTGATATCAGCTCAAAGAAAGGCACCTCTTACCTTGTCTTCTAAGTCCAATTCAAGCATCAATCAAAGTTGAACAACCCCTACCTTCTTGCCATTCCACATTCCAATCGCAAGACAATAAAAGTAATCTTCATTGTGGATGCAAAACTTTTGGATGTATTTTATATACCTTGCACTTCACACAAACCCACTAATGATTAAATCAAGTCTTGATGTTTTGCATGTAAAACCTAACTTCAAGGCTTGATTCAATCATTAGTGGGTTTGTGTGAAGTGCAAGGTCTATACAATACAAAGACTTTGGCCATGGCTTTTGGCACTCCAAATCTGATCATTTGTGAATCTTAGTGTGTAGCTCTTATAAATACAAAGGCTTTCATTCAAGATCAAGGTATCTTTGTGATAAGCCTTATGACTTTGTTGCTTACAACTAAGGCCGAGGTCTTGATTCATAATATAATAGCCTTGTTTGCTAGGTTCATTGATGGTATTACATCCATTATTACCTAATACAATTGCAACAACGATGTTAGCAATGAGGACATTGCAAAAGTGTTGTTCCATGATTTGTGTGCACTATGGATATCTTTGATATGTATTTCCATCTAGCAGCACATGTTGTCATTGGAATTAGTTGGATGACACACTTAATCTATCAAGGATATTGAAAATGACCACTAAGCCATGGTATGTGCCTGTTATGAGGAAATGACCATCAAGGGCGCCATTGACAAGTGCTTTAATTTGCAAATAGAATTTTACATTGGATGGACTCATTATGATAGCTGGTTTCCATAACTTCAAAATTTTTGTTGCAGGCTCACCTCTATTTTTCCTAATACAAGAATTGTCAAATCCAATTTCTTTGTGATCGGGTGAGAGAAGGATGAATATTGGTAGTGCTTCATGGACTTCTTGCTCAAGAATATTTTATACTCTAAACCATTCAATAAAGTCAATTGATTATATTCTAAACCATTTAATAGAGTCACTTGAATTTGATGAGGATGGATGTTTTTAGATAGCTTTGTAGATAAATTTCATCTATTCCTAATTTATCTAATAAAACCTAATTGCAATCCTAAAATAAACTAAATTAGGTATTTCAAGGAAAGCCCTAGTTTAAAGAGACTTAGTTATATAGTTATATGGCAAGAGAATATATTGTTTTGGGAGATAGGCATTGTTTGTTGATCTGAGTCTAACTTAGGGCCTTCATGAAGCTTAAGTTGTTGGATTATTGGATGGACTTTGGATGGATGGATGGATGGATAATTTAAAAGGCAATTCTTCATCTATGTGGCATGGCTCACAACAAAATGTAACAAAATAATTTATTATATTAAAAAAAGACTTACTTAATAAATAAAATAAAATTTATTTTATTTATATAGCTGGACCATTTCAATTATGTTCTTTTTACGGATAGGTTTTTTGGTTGGATATGAAAAAATTTATGTGAAAAAAAAAAAAAACACAAACATATATATACACACACACACACACACATATATATATATATATATATATATATAAATTACTTATATAATTAATGTTTAATACTTTTTTATTCTTCTTTTCTTTCTTTCTTTTTCTTGATGTGATTTTTGTGAGGTAATACTTCTTAAGTGGTTAGGTCTATATAAAAAAAATATATAATCATCTTTTTTCAATATGCAATAATCCACAGATTTATTCCAGTGATATTATAAAATAAAAAATAATAATATAAAATTTCTTTACTTATAATTTATCAAATCATTCTTAAGAGTGGATATATGTGTGTGTGGAAGATGTATATATATATATATATATATATATATTTATGTTTGTGTATACATACATGGAATGTAATTTTTTATGATTATTTTTGAAATATTACAATAAATTGAATGTAACTAAAAACAAAGATTTATAGTTCATAATTATCTCCTTGATTAGCATTGCTCTAATAGTACTGTTATGCATTTTTGTGTTACAAACTTTCATAAAATTTACAAATGATATATGTATGTATATATATGTATATATGCAGATATCCCTATTATGTGTAAGATTTATAGAAATTTGTATGAACATAGAAATAAATAAACAAACAACAAAGAATAAAGAATATAAAAATGGACCACACAAACTACATCTACCAAAAATAGTGTTGATTCTAGTTTCTTTCCTGTAAAACTCTAAATTCTTATTTGTTGTCTTCCAACTACAATATACTATTTCTGTCAACTATATTCAAATTTGTATTCTTTTCTCATTTCATCTATAGAAATATATAGCATTATCCACAAATTATATTTATAATTGAAGATTTAAGTAATCTATTCCTAATATTCTTTATTTTGTATGTTAACAAACCAAGTGAAAATTTACCACAAAAGTTTCAATTATTGTGTCTCATTTGATAAGGTCTTATTAAATATCTTGAGCATTAAAGAAGTCTTATCTAGATTAAAAATGCTATGAGAAATAATCTTAAGAATTATCCAAAAGCATTTGCTTAGTTGTTTATCCACTTGTAGGTTATAACTAAGAAGAAAAGTAATATTTTTGATTTGATTAAATCTAATTTTTATATAAAAATAATAACAATAAATATAAGATTATAATCAAAGTAGGATGATATATGTTTATTCATCCACAAAATAACAGACTTACTAAGAAATATATATAAACTTTAAAATATTCAATTCTATTTTTTTACTACTTTTTTTTTCCTAAAATTTTATAAATCATACTACTGCAACTATAGATCATGACTAATTTTACAATTTTGCAAATAATATATGAGAAGCTTTCAAATAATCTATTTCTTTAAAATAAAAATGAAAAAAAATCATTCTTGAGATTCATATTTTTTAAATAAATAAACTCTAAATATAAAATCCAACAAATTTTCACAAAGTATATATATATATATATATATATATATATATATGTATGTATATATATATA